GATTTTACTTAAATCAAATGTTCCCTCCAGGGGAAACTGCAAGCTAGAATCATCTCTGGTATACCAATTCCATTTGTCTAGAAACTTACAACTTTTATGGCCATAGTGTGTGTACATGTACAATGCTGGAGTCCCTTTTGGCAGAGCCGGTATGTCTTTAGACCTTCCGCTCCCCATGTCTTTAAGCTTAATTCACACAGGTCTTTCACACAGGAGAGGCTTATTGATGGTGTCCAGTCAGGTTGTGAGATTTGCTAGTGGCACAGGAATGCTGTGGCTAATGTCCAAAGACAAGATTCCACAGCACCAGCACACAATGCAGTTACTCACTGTTAGACATGGCTCATTCATGAGAGTTGGGGTAGGGAAAATTCATCACACAACCCTGATCTCCTTTAGTCTAAGATTTTCCACCTTGCATCCTTGCTTTCAAAGAGCACACAGAACAAGTCTGGCATCCTCGGGGCGGCTGCACAAGGTTTCCACTCCTAGCTTCAGAAAGACCTCGTAGTTCTTTACAGAACTTAACTCAATTCACATGGGGAAACACACTCACTAACAACAGCAACACAGTTTCAAACTCTTTTCTACTCGCAGTTCCTACTTACATAGTGGGTCTGACAATTCTGGCAGCAAAAGTGTCGTGTCGCAGGGCACTGAGGTGCCCTGCTCCTAAGGAGGGGAAACTGCTGGGGAAAGAGCCCTAGCAGGGAATAAGGAGCCCAGCTGTGGGTTGCCAGGGCAACCAGGAGGTCAGCTGACTGTAAGGAGCAGGGCCTGGCCCTTATAAACTCTAGGAGTTGAGGCCAGAGGCAGTTCCCTGCCAGCAGCCCAAGAAGAAGGAGCTCTCTGTTGCAGAAGAGAAGCGAAGCGAAGCGAAGCTTGCTGAAGGAGCAGCACATGATACGGCTGTGGGATGAAGAACCCCGGTAGGCAAAGCGTGATTATAGCCGGGCGGCTTATATTTATGTTATAGCCAATGGGCTTGCATTTTGTGTTGCTGTTTATCACTGGTGGTTTGGGTGAGGCTATTAGGGGATGGAGGATGCCTCATAGGGGACTCACAGTAGTGTGAGATCTCCAGCACCAGCAAGGACACAGCATTAGGGGTGCACAAACCCCAGCCCCAGAGAGGGGGCATTGCTGAGAAGCCCCAGTGTGGGTGCAGTGAGCCCTAGAGAGGGGATATTGCTGAGAAACCCTAGTGTGGGCATGGTGAGCCCCTGAGAAGGGGGTAGCAGTGTGGTCAGCCCCGGAGAAGGGGGTAGCATTGCAGTGAACCCTGGAGAAGGGGGCAGCATTACTGAGGAGGCCCCGAGAGAGGGCGGCATTGTAGAAGAGCCCCGAGAGAGGGCGGCTTTACAGAGAAGGCCGCAGAGGAGGGCGGCTTTACAGAGAAGGCCCTGAGAGGGGGTGTGGAAAGAGAGAGAGACAGGGCTGTTGAGAGCCCGAGTGCCAGAGAGTGAGTGGGGACAGAGAGAGACCGAACAATGTCTATTCCAGCTGCGAGGCTTGGGGCGTGGTGAAAGGGGTGGTTGGAGCCACGCATAACCCATAAGGCTAGGGTGCCCCGAAGCACCCGTTTGCAGGACAAGACCCACGAGGGGTCTGGGAGTCCACAGGGCCAGAGGTTACAGCGGACCGTGTCCAAGAAGACATAAGGCAGCCTCTCTCATATATTGGAACATCAAAGACGTGGTGGGTGAGAATCTGAGGGTGCCCTTGGGCCAACTTGGCATGGGAAGGGGGCCTTGAGGAGATCATGGTCTTCCTGCAGGACCCTGCCGTGACAGGCCGGATAGGGTAAGCCTCAAGCAGCGAACAGGAAGACACACAGGCAGCCTCTCACCGAAAAGCCCCAATAGAGATTTCAAAAGGTCTCTTACCTTAGTTTGGCACCGGGGCGTCAGTGAGGAGACGGTCTGTATCTCACCCGATCATTCCGGGCATCTCTATCCAAGTCACGGCACCAAATTGTAGAAGAAATCAAACTTCACGTTGTGGTTGTATCAGAATTGACAGAGCCATCTTGGTTTGTTTAGAGCTATACAAGTGATCACAAGGAGGGTTCTCAAAGGAACTCTGACCTCTACAAGTTTACAAGCATATTTATACTTTAGACAGCAAGAAAAGATGCAGGGTTCAGACAAAGCAACCTTGAAAGAAACAGAAAGAAGTTGATTTTTTTTTTTTTTGTCACACGTAAGCAGTTTACTTTTTCAGCAAACACATTGTGTTTTGGGAACACCTATCAGTTTGGGGGGTTTTTTGGTTCCTGGAAAGGAGGAGGTTAACATCTGCACACAGACAAAACAAGGCATGAAAGTTTTTCCTTATCTTAGAACATTTTAAAACACATAGCATCAGCATCTTTTTCTCTTCTCTTTCCATCTCTTCTTAGTCAAGTAAGAGGCCTGGTTAAACTTATTTCCACACTACATACATTCTGTAATCTATGCTGCAAGGTGTGCAGTCTATGCTGCAAGGTATAAATGTATCTGCATTCCTACATAAATGCTATAAGATATGTAGTATATGCTGCAAGGTATAAATGTATAGAAATAGAATACAAATGTATCTCCCTCCTATATAAATTAAATTCTATAGTGTAATATCCAATATAATTATAAAAATGAAAAGAATAAATCAATGAATATAATAATGAAATAAAAGGGTCTAAAAGAAAGAAAAAGATTTTCTGGAATGCCACTTGCTGGACTAGGCTAGCAAGCAGGAAATCATTCAAATCAAAGCTAGTAGTAGCCGTCTTTGTCTAACGCTCCTGAGCTGCTGGAAGACACGGCTCAGTAACTGTCAGACCCCAAGGCAGAAAGCAGGCCAATTCAAAAAAATGCTGCCTTTTATGCTGTTTTTCCATGCCTCCCCCAGAGCACTGGGATTGGAAGGGACCTCGGGGAAGGATCACAGTCACTGGCTAGCTATACAGTCAATATGAGAGCAGTTCTTCCCCTCTCTCTCCTTATTTCCTGTTTCCCTGCAGGCAAGCCCAGCTTCAGCTTCAAAATTCAAAATGTTTTGAAACTTCTGAAATGTTTTGACTGCCCTCATTTCATTTTGAGGCTGTTTTGAAGCCCTTCCTTTCATTCCATTTTCGCTGTTTCGAGCTCAAAACTAGTCGAAACAGTGTTGAAACGAAACAGTCAGCAAAATTTCACACAGCCCTAATAGCCAGTTCAGGATTTTAGATGGAAAGAGTTGCGCATGCGTATTGAGGTGTGTACCACCCAGTCTGAATTTTGAGAGGTTCTTTAATTTCTGATCTTCAGATCATTGTGATGTCGCTGTGTTTCAGCTCTCTTAAAATAACCAATGCACTTCAGTTCTGGAGCATACATTACACTTGGTTAAATGAAATCTGTGAGTGCGCCTTACCCTAACCATTGCCCTCCCCTCCTCTCCCCCCTGTGCCCCCCCCCATTAAATTAAGTGGTACAACATAGAAACAATGATATTACTATTGTCAGAGGTAGTGAAAAGCTCAGTGGGAAATCAGGAGACAGATCTGCAAATTATGGATCTTTGGCCAAATTCAAGAACAGGCAGACTTGAAAAGATCAAAATAACATTGTATGCTAATGTGGCATTTGAGATCAAAAGTTAAAAGGAAAGCTTGTTCTAGAAGCAAGACTGTTTGTTTGAGAGAGAGTATGAAATCTTAGAATCATCTATGTTGGAATGCATAAAAAAAAAAAAATGGTTCTGATACTGTTGTCCCTTAATTTAAAAGGACTGGACATGTGGTTATATTTTAGAAAAGCAATTTAGGTGACACTAAATCAGTGCTTCACAAAGCAAAAGGTACTAACAACCAGGAATATCAAGTAAGGTAACAATGAAATATTTGGCAAGACTTCAGAGTAACGGAAGCTCCAGCAACCAAAAAAGAGGTAAAATATCTTATTGTGATATATAGGAGGCTTTAATGTCTCATTTATCTGTGGCAGCCAAGATTCTTTAGGTGAATCTGATATCCTTTATTAAACCAACTAAATAGCTGGAGAGCAATTTTTAAGGAAGCTTTGGGGTTCAAAAGCCCTTCATCAGGCTAAGGAAGTTTCGGCAGTTGATGTGTGCTCTTCCTGGATGGAATGAAAAGTAAAAAAGCCAGAGGCTGGGCTGGTATGCATACAAGACAGGCAGTCAGTGAAAATGTAGATTGAGGAGTCAATGGGTGAGAGACAGGCTGGGTGTGGGGGAGAGAAGGGGGATGAATAGTGGAGAAGTACCTGGGAAGTCAGCTGTCAGGCAGGTTATAATGTGTCATAAATCCAATGTCTATATTTAGTCCATGATTTTTAGTATCCAGGAGGTTGATGAAGTGGAGTTCATAGGCTCGTCTCTGGGAAGTGTTTTGTAAGCTTCCTTTGAGGATCAGGACTGAGAGATTGGAGACAGTGATTTTCTTGTGAGAAATGTGCCCCGACAGGTAATTGGGTATTCCTGTCTTTGATAGATTTCCAGAGTGCATTCATTCTGGTGCGCAGTTGTTGTTTGGTTTCACCTACGTATTTTCCATCTGGTCATTTGGTGCATTGGGTGAGATGTTACATTTCTGGAGGTGCAGCTGTAAGATCTGGGACTGCTGATGGCTTGATTTGTGGGGGTGGTGTTGGCAGGTTTTGCATTTCTTGTCATGGCATGGTCTGGATCCACTTGGTGTGTTCTGGGCCTGAGGAAGTTTGCTTCTGGTGATGAGGTTAGCGAGGTTCGGTGTTTGTTTGAAGGCTAGAATGGGTGGCTCTGGGAAGATCTCTTTAAGAATAGAGTCTTTCTAGTATGGGTTGCAATTGTTTGAGGATTTTCCGTATGGGTTCGAGGGAGGGGTGATATGTCATAACCAGCTGTGTGAGATTTTGTGGGGGGTTTTCTTCTGTACTGCAGGAGTTCTTCACGTGGTATCCAGGTGGCTCTTTCAAATGTGCGATCTATCTCTCTGGAGGAGTGTCCTTGTTGGGTGAAAGCCTTTTTAAGACTGGTGAGGTGGCAATCCCGGGTGTTCTCTTCAGTTCAAATTCAGTGGTATCTGAGGGCTTGGCTGTATATCACAGCTTTTTTGGTGTATTTAGGGTGATTGCTGATTCTATGCAGATATGTCTATTGGTCTGTGGGTTTCTTATATAACATGGTCTGTAATTTATCATTCTGGATACTGATCATCGTGTCTAAAAAGGTGATGTTGGTGCTGGAGTATTCTAGAGAAAGTTGGATGGAGGGATGGTGATTGTTGAATTTCTGATGGAACTTAATCAGAGATTGCAGGCTTTCAGGTATTTCTTACTGCGCCTTACAGTGATACAGTGTGTTCCCACTGGTGTAGATTTCTGTATTTTGGTGCCAGTGCTCCAGATGTTTTCTCTGTAAATCTGTGGAAACTATTTTATTTAGTTTCATTTCACCTTATTTACAATTAATTCATCATGAGCTTTGGTCACTAGAAATAAAAACCCATAAGCCACATACTTGAGACAATTGGGTTCTATTGCTCAATTTCATGCTAGGGTTAGATTCACCCAAGCTTTGGAGAGAACATGAACTTTTTGGGTATTGAACAGTGTGGCAGGGCACTGGTTGTGCCTACCACTTTAAGGTCCTGGAGCTAGCAGCCTCCAGGTGCCTAATGAGGGCAGCCATTTTAGATTCAGCGCTGCCCATATAAACAAGGCAGTTCTGCTGCTGGAGGCCAGGCAAGAACACTGCCTGGCTGGAGGGCTGCTGATATCTTCTGGAGGTAAGGGAGGAGCTGTAGGGGATGGTAAGGAGGCTCCTGGTCCTGGGCATGACCTAGGACTGCACCCTGCAGGGAGGGGGTGGCCTGGTGGGGCTCTCAGTGGTGTGGGAGCCCCCAGGAAATACCAGGCCAATTACCACCCTGGTGAAAGGTGGGTCAGGGCGCCTTAACCCCTAGCCC